TTACACTATATTTTGAAATGCCCCGCTAGATTGCTTAGCCAGCTGAGCATAACAGCTAAGCATTTTTACACTATATTTAGGAATGCCCCGCTAGATTGCCTAGCCAGCTGAGCATACCAGCAGATCATGTTTACACTATATTTTGGAATGCCCCGCTAGATTGCTTACCAAGCTGAGCATAACAGCAGAGCATTTTTACACTATATTTTGGAATGTCCCGATAGATTGCTTAGCCTGCTGAGCATAAACAGCAGAGCATTTTTACACTATATTTTGGAATGCCCCGCTAGATTGCTTAGCCAGCTGAGCATAACAGCAGAGCATTTTTACACTATATTTTGGAATGTCCCGATAGATTGTTTAGCCTGCTGAGTATAACAGCAGAGCATTTTTACACTATATTTAGGAATGCCTTGCTAGAATGCCTAGCTAGCTGATCATAACAGCAGAGCATTTTTACACTTTATTTTGGAATGGTCCGCTAGATTGCTTAGCTAGCTAAGCATATCAGCAGAGCATTTTTACACTATATTTTGGAAAGCCCCGCTAAATTGCTTAGCCAGCTGAGCATAACAGCAGAGCTTTTACACTATATTTTGGAATGCCCCGCTAGATTGCTTAGCTAGCTGAGTATAGCAGCAGAGTATTTTTACACTATATTTAGGAATGCCCTGCTAGATTGCCAAGCCAGCTGAGCATACCAGCAGAGCATTTTTACACTATATTTAGTAATGGCCTGCTAGATTGCTTACCCAGCTGAGCATACCAGCAAAGCATTTCTACACTTTATTTTGGAATGCTCTGCTAGATTGCTTACCCAGCTGAGCATAACAGCAGATCATTGATTTCCCTATATAAATCGTAATGCCTTTTTGCTTAGCTCACTGTTAACTGCTAACTTCTCACATACTCAATTTTTATGATATGCACACTACGCTTGAAATGCTTCCGGAATAATTAATAAAAAATAAATTAAATATAGAGTTTTGTTGTTATTTCTATACTATGCTCATATTTGATATCAGAAAATAATTCAAAATATTGATAATTTCTACACAGTCTCTTTATAAATATGAAATAAACATGTTTGACTTCACACAAAGTTGATATGTCATGTTTAAAACTCTACACACTATAGGTGGTCACAATATGAATACATAGTTTCGTTAAAATAACTGGCAGGTTTTTTAAGAAAAGGCCAACTGAACTTTTCCTATAGTAGAGAATGTGACTTCCAATGCATAGTTAATTCATTTTTTATTCAAATTAGACATATGCAGTAAGAATTTCATAGGTTTAAATAAATATCTTCCATTAAAATTTTTTACTCAAATATGAGCATAGTATATATTTGAATATATTTTCTACTCTAAAATATTTTTCTTTAATTCTAAGATATAGATTTGATTGAAATAGTTTAAGATTAAGACCTTTTATCAGTTAAAATGATGGCAGAGGTAGCATATGTAAAAACCTTTTCTACATACAATTCATTTAATGATGAACGATTTTCACTAGAAGTGTATTGTTTCACATTTGGAAAATGGTAGAGATCCCCGAAAAAGCCAGCAAATGTGATAAAATATATTTCATACATGTATATCTTGTATATGATGGTTTTCTTTTATGATCGTCTGTATATTAGGGAACTTATAAGGTAAAGTAAATTGTTACTTTAAATACAAGTACTTAAATCCATTAAAAGTATGTTTGAGGATAATCTCTTTTTATGAAGATCTAACCGGCACGCCCGAGTGTAAAACTTTTTTAAAATAATGTAAGGACCAAAAGGCCTTTTATCTTAAATTGTAAATCATTAACATACGTTACTTGATATACTATGTTATATTATTACGGCTTAGATTAATGCATTATGAATAATCGAAAACTATGTACAGAAGATTAAATGGGACTTAAACTCAATAACGCTATAAAACGCTAATATTATGAAAATATGAGCCGCGTCATGACAAAACCAACATAGTGTGTTTGCGACCAGCATGGATTCAGACCAGCCTGCGCATCCGCGAATTCTGATCAAGATCCGTGCTGTTCGCTATCCGTTTCTCTAGTTGTTAAAGGGTTTGTAAGCAAAAAGCATGGATTCTGATCAGACTGCGCGGATGCACTGGCTGGTCTGGATCCATGCTGGTTGCAAACGCACTAAGTTGGTTTTGTCATGACGCGGCTCAATTATACAAACTGTTGTAGAAACTATACCTATATTTGTTGATTGAAACGTAATGCTAATACACTAACTTCCTCATTCTTGCAGGCTTATACTTTTGAGGGTGCTCATAAACACATGTACCAAATAATATTAAGTATGAACATTTTCATTTTAATCATTTTATTCGATTTCAGATGAAAGATGAAAAGCTTAAATATGATTGGAACAACTTTCGAGTCTGTTTTCTTGAACTAATAAATATTGGTGTCGTCTGGTGAGGCAGGATCCCTAGGCTAAAAACGCAGGCATTTCAACCATCATATACCAACCATCTCCTGAACATTTTGTTGAAATCTAACAACAAACGTAGGTATAGTTGCGAAGGTGTATTTGTTTATTATATTCCGTATGCAGGAGACAATGTAAAAAATTCGTTCAAGGAGATAAAATTATACACAATATTTATTTGAAATCAAGGTTTAAATTCCCCTGAAAAAAATGTATGAGTAGCACATTCCAAAGGGTATTTCTTTGTATATTATATATATATCATGTAGAAAATGAAATAAGATATGACTTTTATTAGAAATATTCCCATGATGACAATATTCGTCACTGTAATTAATGACAATTAGTCTGCGAAATGTAATTTAAAATCCAATGAGGAATGCAGGAGTTTGACATTTTGCAGTATATGTTAATATTTGAGTTATATAAAAATGTAAAAAAATCGTTTATTTAACGACCAAGTATATAAACACATTTATCACTTTAACGTTTTTTAATGCAATCCAAAATTAACCTGCATAAATAAGTTATTCAATCTTTCAAAGCTTTTTAGAATTTCTATAATCACAGCAAGTGTCAAGTATATTTGTTGCAGGTGTGTTTGTTACCCGCACGTTAGCTTAGTAAAGGAGTACATTAGCTTAGTAAAGGAGTACGTTAGCTTAGTAAAGGAGTACGTTAGCTTAGTAAAGGAGTACGTTAGCTTAGTAAAGGAGTACGTTAGCTTAGTAAAGGAGTACGTTAGCTTAGTAAAGGAGTACGTTAGCTTAGTAAAGGAGTACGTTAGCTTAGTAAAGGAGTACGTTAGCTTAGTAAAGGAGCACGTTAGCTTAGTAAAGGAGTACGTTAGCTTAGTAAAGGAGCACGTTAGCTTAGTAAAGGAGTACGTTAGCTTAGTAAAGGAGTACGTTAGCTAAGTAAAGGAGTACGTTAGCTAAGTAAAGGAGTACGTTAGCTTAGTAAAGGAGTACATTAGCTTAGTAAAGGAGTACGTTAGCTTAGTAAAGGAGTACGTTAGCTTAGTAAAGGAGTACGTTAGCTTAGTAAAGGAGTACGTTAGCTTAGTAAAGGAGTACGTTAGCTTAGTAAAGGAGTACGTTAGCTTAGTAAAGGAGTACGTTAGCTTAGTAAAGGAGTACATTAGCTAAGTAAAGGAGTACGTTAGCTAAGTAAAGGAGTAAAAGAAGCTACTTAAAAGATTAAGTAATCTAAAGTAATGATTATTAATTTCAATACATATTATTAAATTATTACATTTATTGTGAAATTTTAGTCACAGAAGTTTTTGCCTTTGAATTTACGACTTTTGATACGCAAAAAATAAAAAAATATAAAATTTCCAGTTTCATGCTATAATTTCATTCAAAAACTAAAAATAATATAAAGTAAAAAACTCTTTGACAGTTTCCAATTTAATTTTCTATCCGTTTTTCTTTTTCGCGACCGTGCAGTATTTGCGAAGGAATAAATGAGAAAACTGTATATTTGATACAAAGTTATTACCATAACGTATAAAAACATATGGCTTTATTAGATGAAAATATTCTATGCAAAATGTCTACAAAGTTTTCTACACAAAACAGTGTATTGAAAATTTAGTAAATGAGTGTTTGAAAGAGTGGTTCCAGTGCACGAGTCATCATCTACCGCGATGGGTCGTCACACAAACATGACACGCCTCAATTATTCGATATTCCGAGGAAATATATTAATTTGATAAATTAAACTAGCAGACAAATATTTTACCGTATGCTACACATTTTGAGTAGAAAACTCAAATGTAGCCTGAAAATATATTGTCGTGTAGAAATGAATTTTTCACTTTCTATGTTAATGGCTCTATTTTGATAACACTTGATACACATATATAATGACCGCATTAGATTTATTGTTGAGCAAAATTCTGAATTCTATTGAACACCCATATAGCTACCAAACTTATATAGGACAAGTCGCAAGGAGAGTCTTATATAGGTTTGAATCTGTGTACTAGTGTAATATAATCAACATTGTACTCAACGATATATAATGACCTCTCTATTTAACATCACAACTGTTCTTGACATATTTTAATTTTAATTTCAAGTACAATAAGAGTTTGGTATGAATTTTTTGGACTTTTGAAAAGAGACTAGAAATATTACAATATTAATCTGATATGGAAATTCTTGATTTAAAACATGAAAATGAGGCTAGATGAAGGACAACAGTGACTTGCTATACCGTTTTTTGTCTTGATAAACAAAAATTAAGCTAAATTTATAAGATTTGATCAATTGGTGATTGATATTGAGATATCACACAGTGCTAACTCTGACAGTTCTTTGGTTACACTTTATAATGTGTGAAATAACATTATGTATTGATAGAGAAAAGACACAGATAGGGGAGGGTTCTCGATAATGTTGTTATAACTTTTGGCGCTTCCCTTTTATGTAAATTTACATTAATGTATTTATATTTGTTTGTGTAATATTGTGAAATTTCATAAATGTATATAATTATATAAGATTATAGAATAAAATAAGTTTAAACTAAGAGACACAATTGTCAACTAACTTTATTTCTCTATGTGAAACAAGCTTATTGTCAGATTAAATAAAATATTTTTTTGGTGTGTAATGTCTGTCGTTATCCCGTAGAAAGTTTCAAGAAAACAATCAATTAAATACTAGGTAATTATAAGTTATGATCATAATTACAACTGTCTGTTACACATTTTTCTCTGCAAAATGTTTTCGATCCTGTTGTTTTACAACCTAATTTTTCATTGGCGGCATTAGCTGTAGGATTCTTGCAACCTTTAAACAAAATCTTGATTTTGTTATTCTTATATTCAATGACTGTCTGACACGACTGAAATAGATAATTAAATTTAAACATTGAAAAAAAAACCATATTAATTTTTGTTCCATATTAAGAATAACGAAAATTGTGGTTAACAACATACATGTAACTAAGAACATATTGTTGTTATCTAATATTCGTATCACTTCTAGTTGGACACCATCAACTGTCTTGCCCATCAATAAAATCACCACAACATGCACCCAATAAACCGTAGTAGACCACATACCACCAACAAACACACACAATGTTCCCCTACCCCCCCCCTCCTATACCAAAAACGTCATTGAATAAGAAAAAATCAACCGTCCTTAATCATTGCCAACTCCACAAACACAGACATACAATCAACTTCCATTCACCGTATTCGGACCATCACCACACAAGCACAATAAAGTGTATAACCTCACACCAAACAATAACCACGCACACATTCTCAACTGTCCTTGCACCCAAAACAAGCTGACAGCCGAACCACTTCAACACATACCTGTATGCAAACCACTACCACATTCCACATCACACCAAACCACCACTATCATATCATATCAAACCATATTTTACTATAATTTTTGTGAAAAGGGAAATTCTTCAAATAAATGCCACATATTTTATTTACATTTAATCAAACATTGAATTTCAGATTTATTATAGTACATAAAGATTGAGTTAATGACACAAGAACAATCATTTTACTAATTTGCTAGATAAATAAGTGAATAGATAAATAAATTAATTTATCAAATAAATAAATAAGAAATAAGCAGGTAGGTAAGTAGGTATGACAATATTATAAATAATAATTAAATAAATAAATAAATAGATAAATAAATAAAAATAAATTAATAAATAAATAAATAAACAACCAATCAATCAAACAATCAATCAATGAACAAACAAATATTAAACAAATAAGTTAATAAATAAATAAATAAACAAATAAGAGGTCTTAGCTACTTGTTATCTGCAATAAGGCATGTATTATTTTTGTTGTTACCTGCTTATTGTGATCGCAAATTTCGAGGGCACCAGCATTGCAGGCTTCATGACTGTTTTCGTTCTTGCACTGGTAACACCTAATTCCAACTGAAAGAACACACATTACATCATGTGTATGTTTATTTACACTATCAAACTATTGTACAATTATGTTAAGTCTGTGAGTACAAAATAAAACGCTATGTTATGAAACATTCGATTGAACCACCTTTTTCAGAGAGAGGATTAAAATAGTCTTTTGATTCATAACATGCAAAGTCAATATACATGTCAGGTATGCAATGAAACAAATATACAAGAAGAACAACAAAGCAATGCAAAGAAAACTTTTATTTATATAGATATATAGGCATTGATATTATTATTTGTTTACTCGTATATATTTCTTCTGTGTTGATGTCTATGTCAGCGGACCTTCACAATTAAACTATTTTCAGGATGATAACCAATGATGACTAATGAAAGCACTATCAATGTGTTTTCTTTTTGGCTTGCTAAAATTTAGCGGTTTATAATCGTGGTGTATATTTTACAGAACCAGGATTATACAGATTGACAACAATTTAAATATTTTTCTAGACTGATGTTTAAACAATTGATTTTTCTGTGCAATACTCCTGTCATTTTGAGAATTTTCACACAAAACATTCTTATATTTGATATCATTGTAGATACTAAAAATATCAAACAGACCGAAGAGGAGACACTCGGCGTAAGGTACTTTACTTTTTTTTTCGAAAAAAAAAGGAAGATAAACGCGTACAAATTGTGTACAAATTATGATTGCAGTGTTTGTAGCACTTTTGATCTAAGTAACGCATTTAGACTTGGTATTAGAGAAAGTTTCTGGAACTGAACCGAGCCTGTTATTATAATCATAATTATGTTCTTGCTATTTGAAATCTTCATGAGGTGTTATAAGATATGATTTGCAAATTTTGAGGAAAGTATCAAATAATATTACATATATTTCTTCTAAAAATGGGTAACAAGTAATAAAGCAGTTAATTTGCATGGTAAAGATATAATTGTATGAACTTACGACATGTTACCAAGGACGCATGATTACAAGTATTTATGTTTTGATCAAATTTCGTTCCTGGTGGACACGGCCTCTTCAACCACTTATAACTCACAGAGCCCATCTGCATTTGTTCCATTGTGGACACACTGACAGTAAGAGTCACAGTCTGTACTTCTCAACGCGACTAAGTTACTTTTGGAGTATACCGACGAATCGCACTCACCTAAGTGACACCAGTCAGTGTATTAATACATATAATGAATGTCGTTTGGTGAATGAAAAAAGAACAAATATACATTAAGGAAAACTTACTCCTTAAATTAATTCAAAAATAGCAATGTCTGAAGACACTCCTTTTCCCCAAACATATTAATTTTGCGCATTAGTTTGGTTCCTAATAATCAAATATTGTAAAAGTCAAATTGTTTTAATCAATAACCTGTGTAGTTAAATTTTGTTTCTATGAATGTGTTTAAGACTTAAAGTCGCTAATATCGAGTGTTTCCATAATTTAGTGAAGCTACTATCATAGAAATAAGACATAGTATAAAATTAACAACTTTAATTTTTTGATACATAAATACCGGATTTCTTTTCATTACGTTGAATGGAAAATAGTATATTCGCTTTTATATTGAAATATTCATTTTCATACAGCTCGATGAAAATAATACCTTCATTTCTTGAGATGAAAAAAAAAAAGAAAGATAAAAGAGCTCTTATATTATTATCCTCTTTACATTTCTTTAAAACAATGCCAATCTCGCTCAACCCATAAAAATATACATTTACCCCCCCCACCCTTTAAACACACACTCACACACATTTCTTTATACTATTTGATAGACAAACGAGTGTTAATATCATGTTATATTGATCGAAACACGCCCCCCCCCCCATTAAGATTATTTATATCGTTATCCCTTTCTTTGCCGAAACAATAAGTAAACCCCCAAAAAAATTAATCAATCATCGGTTATGCACAGGAGTACAGGTGACTTATACCTGCTACTACACATTTTCAACAGAGAGATCCCTAAACTAGGATACAATACAAAATGGTGTAGAATGGTTTGTACTTATTAAGTCAAATACCTGCAGACAGATTGTATTTATTGTTTGCATTGTGTATTATGAAAATTCCTTGAACCTAGAATGTGGAATTAACTCACGCATTTTATCTTGTTTACTCATATAACTTTTATGAAAGCATATTAAATAACAAACGAAAAAATACCTAGTTCTTGGAAGCATCGGTCAGTTTCTTCTGTGAAAAAAAAGAACAAACAACAAATTAATTGTATACATTGCTATTTTCATTAATAGTTTCTCAATAATAATCTATTACACTGCACCTTCTAAATTTCAGAACTCTTAAAATACAAATTAACCAATCAAACATTAATGCATAAAAATAAATGTTTTGAGTTTTTGAGGAAAAGGTTGCATAGATTGGATAGAACAATGCATAACTGAAGCGATCAGTGATCACGAATCGCTTGATAGGTGCATTTACTTTGTAGCAGAGGACAAAAGATAATAAACAAGATAAAAAACAGACTTTTTTTCTTGAAGGGCCATAATTATGTTAAAACATATATTTAAGCGAAAACAAACACACAAAAACACATGTACCCCAAGTACTTGAGCTTACCGATCAATACTGTAAGAATCATTGAAATTATGTTATTGGCGTAAGTGGAGTAGTTCAGGACAACATTAAAAAATAATTAAGGGCCAGTTTATTGGCGTAAGTGGAGTAGTAAAGACAACATTAAAAATCAATTAAGGGCCATAACTCTTAATCAAATCACTGAACACAACATTACCGAAAATATGCACAACTAGATCTGGTGATGAAATTGTTCTTATCATTCCTTTAAAGTTTGGAGGAAATTGCAAAAGTACTATATTGAGAAGTTTGCCGGACAAGGTTTGTGACAGGACAAGCAGGCGACGGATGATTGATCCATATATGTTGCGACCTCTCTCTCTGTAGCACGGGTGCTTTAAACTATTATGATAACTGTTTTAGAACAACTTTTGCAAAACACACACCATGAGGTTGATAACTAAGATAATGTGAAGACGGTTTTAACGCGGATTTTCTAATAAGACGTTGTTTAAGAATTCCATTGACTCGTCGTCCGCATCAGGCACGTTTTGAAACTGGTGAAGTTGCCCAGGTAAAAATGGAGAAATGTTGTTTTTTTTTCATGACGAGTTAAATTTTTGTCTAGACTTTACTATGTTGGAATAGACTTGGGAAAAGGTTCCAAGCCTTAACTATTGCAGAGCACGACTTATCAGCGGTACATTGATGACATATTAGAGATTCCGTTTATAGTTTATTCCGGGGCAGTGGCCGATAAATTCATTTAAATGGTAGATAATTGGCGTCTGAACATGGCAAAGGAGGTCCACGTCTACGTGCAGAGAGAGTGTATGGGGTGCGTTGAATGGCCAGGTCGATCACCGAATATACATCCAATATTACACACGTATAGAACTGAAGTACGGATATGAGCTCACATGGTGCCATTTTGACGCATCCAGGAGCTTAAGACCTTGCATGTCTAAATATCGTGGGTACACACATAACGGATATCCTCTTCTCTAAAACATAACTCATGCAAAATCAGTAAAAATGTGCAAAGTGATTTGTTATGAACTCTGCATTAAGACACAAATTCATAATTGAACATTTACTAGATCAACCTTTTCGTTTCTTAATAACTACACAAATATTGAACTTGAAAGAAATAACGTTGGTGTTACGATGTTTTAAAATGCTTTAACACTGGAATGAAGGAATGCAATTGAAATTAATCAGAATCTATTTATCGAGAAAAAATAAAATTCTTAACTTAGGTTTAATCAATAAATATCGTTAATACCGTATAAGTACTTATTTCTGCAGGCTTAATATTCTGCGATTTTGGTTAAAATAAAGGGTTTTAAATTTCTGCGCATCTTATTTCTGCGGTGTCATCATTCTCGCATATATCATTGATGTTCTTTATTTCTGCGTTTTAATAAAGATATGTTTACAAAATTAACCGTGCAATGACAACAATTAATTGTAATACTGCATGTGTATAAAAATGAAGAGTGAAAAATAAATCAGGTAGAGTCGTACGTAGAAACAATATATATATATTGCACAAATACAAAAGGGTATGTTCATTGCACCCGTCAAACTATAATAGTTTTATTTAAAAATAAATCAAGCTTAGGGTGAGCGAAAATCATACAAACATGATATTTGTTATAACAAATAAGGTAACTTTTTTTTTAAATTTTATTCATGACGGATACATAAAAAATTTTCCATCTAAAGCTGATACGGTGCATGGTAAAGAAATTATGCAATACAGGTAGTTGACATATTCTGACATACATGTAGACATAGCAAAATGCTTAATTTTCTGTTGGTTTTAAATCAGCGGTGTCGTTATCAACCGCAGACATAAAAGAAATAAAGTCCCCGCAGAAAAAGTACTTAAACGGAAATTAATACAGATTTTAGGGCAATCATTTTCGTGTAACCAATAATCTTTTGTTGCATATCAATAATGAAACGGCGATACATATATAATTTGAATTTCACACCTATCAATTAGCGACACTCAGACCTATCCTAGTGTAGTGATACCACGAGGTCAATTATTACAAGAAAATGTTGACGTGCATGATTTTACAACTATCAAGGTATGGTCTGAATAGCGGGGGTCAGAAATATATCATGTATCGCCTCGGTCAATATTAATTTTTTCAGTACATATCACATCATATTCAACAGCTAAAAAGTCCGTATTTGTATAATATTAGATAATTACTGAACATAATAAGCTAAGGGTACCTGATAAGGTCTGATAATATTCTCATTATTTTGGGACTAGATTTAAAACTCGGATCTTGTGTAAGTTCTTATGTAAAATAAACTGTTAACTAGAAATTGTCATGAGATCTGAATACAAGAAGTATTGTTAAACAGAACTTTAAATTTGAGCTATTTAACCAGTCAGTTTAAGGCCTGTCCTATACACTTTATGCAAAAATTCTCCTTTACATTTTTTTAAACAGCTCTATATTACACTCCGCTCTTATATCTGACCGTGACCAAATACAGATCTTTTTGGTGACCTTTCACACAGCCAATCATCGGCGAGGTTTCATAATTTTAAAAGCAAATGCGTTTGCTAATTTTATCCTTGGAAAACCAATATTGAATATGTAATTGTTTTTAACTATTTCGAGAACAAACATGGCGTTGTAAACTGGCAAAATAGTATTGCCCCTTAAATGTTCACTCTTTAGTATATTTCAAGTTAATCTGTTAAAAATTACTTCAGGCATTATTTTTCTGACAAAAATCAACAGTTTGTTTAATTTCCACTTAAAACAGTATTTTGATACTTCTTCTAATGTCTAGTATGTAAAAACCGGTTAGTTTGCATGACAAAAATAGCTTTCTCGGGCAAGAAGGCAAAATATATTTTACGGTCCGTCATTAGATTTACATAAAACATATGAGAAAATCTGAACTTAAGTCAGATTGTATGGCAAGAAAAAACTTTCGTTCACATTTTAAGTTACATTTTATTTTAGAATGGCCAATGGGATTCCAGGATTTTACTTTTTTTATTTTAAAATGACAAATGAAAAACTACTATTCTTATGTTAAGTTCTTCCCTGTACATTTTACGGGAAGTCAAACTGAAAACAGAACTGGCATTTGGCTGAAAAAACGAAACGGGCAGGCATCATTTAAATCAAAGCTTTTATTCTTTACTGTTGAGTTAAATTACTAATAACACACATTAGGAACATTGTGTTGTAATAACAAAATATAAATATACAAGGAGTGTTCAAATATGAATGCATCTGTTCAATATTGAGACAACACACGAAAAGTCTTTGGTTGTTCGGAAGATATACCTGTTAGCTTTACATTGATTACACATTCACTAAAATCAGTTTACTTTAGCTTTGTTTATAGCTTGGTCGTGTACTGTAATACAAAAAATGGTAGGTAGAAGACCTGAGACATACTGTATTTTCCAAGAATTGCTGTCTCCTTAGTAAATGCTTGAAAGGGTTAATTTTGTAAGGGTTTAATTTTGACACGGCGTCTATTGTGCA